TTGTTAGATATAATCGGGTTTGTTCACATATAACCGAATGGGTAATGAGTCAATGTTCGGGTCAGTTAGTATAGAGTCAATTAGTGTGGTGTCATTTAGTGTGTTTTACATATTTAATTAATTTAAAAAACAGTGGGTAGTTTCTAAAAGGCAGTTATGGGTAGTTTCTATTGTTAATAGGTGTGTTGGTTTGTAATAGTTGTGTTGGTTAGTAAAAGTCATGTTGGCCTGTTCTCTATTTATATTTAGAGAACATAAATAATCCTGTACAGTTTTACATCAATAAAATATTCTACTTTGCTTTGATTTGGTTGGTTGGTCCTGTCTAACAGCTCTAAAATCATGTTTCATTTTTAGCCTCAATCAGGCTCTGCAATGTTGGGCGAATTGAGGGTGGAGGCTCGACCAAGAAAGGCAGCCGACCCGAGTCTTGGTTCAACCCATATGGTTGTAAATTAGGTTTTTTAATTTAGCCGGCCTAATTCTCTATGTAGGCTTGGGCCTAACTTGGGGATTATGTTTTTAACCCTAGTTTAGTCTTCATAAATAGTGATCTTTGTACTTGTAATTTGTGGAGCACCTGGATAATAAAAACCCTAGTTGCAAAGTGGATTTAGGTCAGCCGATCAAACCACTGAAATCTTGTGTCCAACTTACTCCGTTTTGATTTCTGTTTTGTGTGTGTTCTTGTTTGGTTGTTGTTTGCTATTCATAGATACCTAAATGACTTGTATCGGAGCCTTAGGCTTGTGATCGTTGAAGTCTTCTGTCGGGTTCATGGAGATCAGGTTCAAGTCAAAGGTTAGGGTTTCGAAGGGTCTGAAGATCAGTTCCACCACCATCATAGTTTCCGCTGCAGAATAAGGTTGTACTATCTTGTAAACAGTAACCACGCCGCCACTGTAAACAGCCGCTGCAGCAATGGTTTTCTTTAGTCGCCGCCTCTAGGGTTCCGGTTAGCCACTGTCAAAAGGTTAGTTCATTGTTGGTTTTTCAATCTCAGATCAGTTTTTCAGCCGTGTATGGAAACAATGGCAGATGAAAAGATAATGATTGAAATGGATGAGGATGACTTGCAGAAGAAGCCTTTCTCTTCCTTCTCTTCTTCTCATTCTTCTCTGATGCATGTGGAGGAGGAATTTCAAGAGCAATTTCCTCCTCATTCTCCGGTTGTTGCCTGGCAATCTCAGCAGCGAGCAAAAGCCAGTCAAAGTGAGTCATTGTTTGTCGCGGCAGATGGAGAGGAAAGGCCGGTCTCAAGAACCCATTATTATTGTCGTCACATCCGGGCCGGTTCTTGGCCTACAAAGACCTTTTCTTAGAGGGATTGCAACCAAGAAGATGAAGAAGATCATCATATTCTTCTTCCTCTTTCAAGAACACCATTATATCTCCTCTCTTCAGCACAATTACAGGGAATCGAATGTAAGTTGAAGAAAAAACAAGAAAGCAATTGAGAGAAATTGGTCTTCAATTCAGCAGACAGAGATTTGAATTGAAGAACAAAAAGCTAAAAGCGCTATGAGAGAAATTCACTGTAATTGGAAACAAGGCTGTGCGGCCGTGCGCCGCAAATCCACCCGAAAGCTTACTGATAAAGTTGGCAGCAAGAGTTTAATGGGGATTAAATATGGCAATTTCCCAATTCAAATAAACCCTAGTAATTAATCTATGCCATCTAGCTGTGTTAGCGCGCCTGCCTCTTAACGGTAAGAATAGTTGACTCTTTTACCCCTGCCATTCTATTTATCACTTTACTTTCCTAATCTTAGGGTACATATGATTTTTTAGAATAAATGGAATTTAGAACAAAAAAATGAATCAAGAAATAAACAAACCATTACAGCAAAAGTGAAAATAAATGTGGTGCCTAATGTGTCTTGTGTCTCGTTTGGTTTGAAAATAGACATCAATATTTCATCTAAGGCAGCCTTAAGAATTCAAAGTCTGGATCGAAACGGATAAAAAAAGGTCCTAAAGGCCTTTTCGGGAAAAGAAGTGTGCTATGTACGCTGAGGACAGAAGCATACGATGTAAGGGGCTGTTTGGCAACTTCTGAATGGGTAAGTGCTGAACCAGTAAGAGGTCTGAATCATTAAGTGCTAAACCAGTAAGAGGTCTGAACCATTAAGAGCTAGTATATTGCTTAACTATTTAGAGGCAAATGTCTGATCAATTCAGATAACAGCTCTTAACCATTCAGACTCTGTATAATACTTAACCATTCAGAGGCAAATCTCTTAACCATTCAGACATCTGAACCATTAAGAGGTTGAAACAAACAGTCTGAACCATTAAGTGCTGAATCATTCAGACATCTGAACCATTAAGAGGCTGAAACAAACAGCCTCTAAGTTTAGTGTGCGATGTGGGGTGTCAATTCCGCTGGTGGTTGGAGGGTGAAGTAGTAAGGTATGGTAGGAGGGGTTGTTTCCTCTTTATTTGAATGACAAATTCTTGCCTGGACATAAGGTCCCTATTTATCGAAGGCTAAAACTTGGTCTCATTTTCTGCTCTTTTCCCACATTGCATTCTCAATGCGGGGTTTCAACTCTGTTGCGTTGCAAGTGGCTGGGTAGTAGCAGCCTTTTCCTCTGCGTATTTCTAATACTTCATCAGCTTATCTTCTGCTTTATTCTCTGCTTCTTTAGTGGTTGTGCTCTTGATAGCTTAGTATTCAGTGTGGTGATGTGCCAACTTGTAGTGAAACGATTAATGGATTATATTTAATGTAAAGGAAGAAATTTTAAACTAGTACAGTAGTTTAGGAAGTGTACGAGAAAAAGGAGTGGTTATTTAACAAAATTACTCTTCAGTTTGGTTTAATATAGCCCCCACTCAACTTAGTTGGGGTCCCCTCAATTTTAATTGAGGATCGATGTACATATAGCCTTAATAAATACCCACGTAGTACTTTTTTAACCCTAGACCCAAAAATTAGTTGGGGGCCATGGACCCTACTACTATATAGTAGACTCACTTGCCCCTGCCCATAGGATATTCTTCTTCCATCACAAAATAAGGTTCACATATGATCGGGCATGGCTTTTAAGAAAGTTAAAATTGTGTGGTTGGAATTTATGTAGAGAAGACACAAATTACATGTAAAATTTTAGTATTATTCCCCAAGGTGTATGCCTGGTAACAAATTACCTCAAACAATTTTGGAAATAAATTCCAAACATGAGCTTTGGTTAGTGGAAGCATGTAAACTCACTTTATTATGAATTTTGAAGGGTCGTCTGCTTGTATTGAAGGCACATTTCTATTATTGAAAATAAAATGTTGGAAGCAAACAAAATGCGGGGAAATAAAAGATAGCGAAAGGCTTAGGCGTTGTTTGGAATGAGGTAAGGTAGTTAATGAGACCTACCTAAGCCTACCTTGGGAATAAAAGGTATGAGATAGTCATTTTTAGGCCTTGTTTGAAAGGAAAAAAAATATTTTTTTTATTTTCCATTGCATTTTTCAAGGTGAAATCAAACATAAGAAAACAACTTTCCTTGCATATGTTTAAAAATTTTATGCACTATAATAAAATCTTGTATTGATGCTGACAATGCAAGATTGGGAAAAACCCTTCTAACTATGTGTGTGCTTTTGCTACTAGTTTTAAATCTTGGTCTTGGATTGGCATCCATATCTCTGGCTTTTGTGAGCTGTATTTTTCTGAACTCCCACTAACTCTGATCTTCTATGGTTCCTTTGAGCGATTACTATTTCTGGGCCTGGTTTTAATATGGATTTATAATTATTTCACATTGCCGTGTAAATTAGACATTAACGCATGAATTCCATCAGCTAGAATATCAATATAATTTTTTTTTGAATTTGTTGGGTAGCTATGTGGCATGTGCACGTATCTATTGATTTATTGATATTTATAGAGTAATACCATACAACCTGATATACCTATTTGGATCAACTTAATAAGGAGTTATAGAATTAATAATCAAAATAAAAAATGAAAACATGCCCTGCCATATTAAACAGGATTTGTACTGCCATGCCTTAAAGGTTATAGAGTGGCTAGCGTCTCTGTTCTCTCTCTTGTTCTAAATATACTCAATGCAGTTCATACTTCATAGTAATGGCCTGGCCTTCATACAACAAACCACCCATTAAGAGTGATCAAAATAGCTAAAACACCCCCAATCAAGCAGTTTAGCTAGTGGGAAAAGAGCCCATAATGTATGCGAATCATAGTGCATTAAGAAGATAATCACTATTCACTAGACGATATTTTTCGTCTTTCTGCTCAACCAAAAAAGAGGCTTTGGGTTGGTAGGAGGGGTTGTTTCCTCTTTATTTGAATGACAAATTCTTGCCCCTGGATATAAGGTTTCTGGTAAATTTTCATGGAAATCAAATAAGCATTTATTTACTACCATTGCAATAAGCATTTTTCAATTTCTTTTTTTATGAAAAAAATAAATGAATATTTGGGGTAGAAGGTTCATGTGTACTTTGTGGGACTTAGGTCCATGGTAGAATTTCTTATAAGATTAACCTCTTGCTTTTCTCGCCTTTTGATTTTCTAGCTTCTGACTTCTGTAGTGATTGTGTTTTCAGCAGGTGAGGATTCACTGAGAGTTGCGATGCCTATTTGCAGTAACATGATCTAGGATTTTAAAGGTATAAGAAGTTCTAAAATAGTATTCACTGTAAATTTAAAAAGTAAACAGTAAATTGGACAGAAACATGAAATTAAAGTGGAAGTGATAATACTATAAATGAATAGTAATGGTATTCATCATACAAGATGATATGAATGTAGTGTTAAGAATAATCACATAGTGTACTGAATTTCTCCTCTACTCGAACTCAATTTATACTGCTAGCTAGCTTTCAGTAGTAGTGGAATTACTGGAATCTACAAAATTCCTAAACATTGACTGACTCCAATCATCAAATCAGTGATTGAGTTGGAAGATGAACCATGGCAAGGCAGAGCTCTTGGGAGGATTGAGCCCTAAAGGCCCAAAGCTGGACGAGGTCGCCTGTGACCAATCGATTCCTCTCCCGGACTAAGTTCCAATTTTTGATCAAATTGTAGATGTGGTTGGCGGACATATCCCACTTCGACATGTTGAGAAGGCAGACAGAGGTGCCGTCAGGTTCGATCAACGGAACACCATAAATCTTTGTTCCAGAGTGGAGAGTGTGCTTCTCTTGAGGTGTCAAGAAGTCGTTGGCCACCTGATTTGCTGGGATGGAGAATCTGTTGTTGTTTGGCTCGGTATCAGTCTGGAAGAGCTTCTTTTGGATGACGAGAACCGCCTCCTCCGCCTTCCCTCCCATCTTCGTCACTTTGTGCTTGAACTCTGGGGGCAGCTCGACCACCGCCGCCGAACAAGAAGCACTGTTATTAGTCATCTTCCTCCTCTTGTTGGTGTTGACTTTGTTCAATGGACGCGGATGAATTGCAGAAGAAGCCTCTCTCTTCCTCTTCTTCTCATTCTCGAGTTCTTGCTGGGCAGTTTCAGCAGCGAGCAAAAGCCAGTCGAAGCGAGTCATCGTTTGCCGCGGCTGATGGAGAGGAAAGGCGGGTCTCAAGAACCCGTTATTACTGTCGTCACATCCGGGCCGGTTCTTGGCCGGCAAAGACCTTTTCTTGGGGGGATTGGAACCATGAAGAAGATGGTGATGATGATCATATTCTTCTTTTTCTTCCCAGAACACCATTGTATCTCCTCTCTTCTTTTCAGACAGAGATTGAAATATAAATTGAAGAACCAAGGAATTAAGCGCGGCGCAAATCTGCCCGAGGCTTACTGCTGATGGAGGGAATTTAAAGGGAATGGAGTAAGTGGGTATCAATTCCCCAATTCAAATACAAACCCTAATTAATCTCCGCTATTCCCATTATTACTCGTACTTTACTTTCCTAATCTTAGTGTACTTGTGATTGTTTGGATTTATTATCGGAATTTAGAGAAGAAAAAAAGTAAAGAAACCATGACCGCAAAAAGTGAAAATAAATTTGTTGGCCTAATATATCTTGTGTCTCATTTGGTTTGAAAAATAAACACAATATTGATCTTCTTTGAACACGTATGTACTCAAACTTGAGTAGGTGGATGATGACATATTCGTTGAATTATATTCGAATATTTTGTAATATGATTTCAGGGGTATCAATTATTTCATTAACATAACTCTAAAATTGAGTAATTTAAAAAGTAATGAATCCAAAATGAGGGCAAGTAGTATCACAAATAACTATATAAGATTTATCATTAAAAAAAGAGGGCAGGTAATATCACGAGTTATTATATTTAATGTTTTATTAAAATTATAAGACTTAGTTTTCAAAAAAAATATATTCTCCAACATGTTTGGATATAATCTCCAATTTTTAAACATTTTCCACAGTAAGTGTTAATAGATCTTAAGTTTTTAATCTCTAACCAAAATTATAAGGTTATATTTTTTTGTTCTTCTTTTTATTTTTTTGTTTCAAAATTCTAATTAAATTAAAGGGTAATATTATTTTGGTTTCTAATTTTTAAATAATTTTTACATTGGTTTGTATATTTTAAAATAAAATATATTATTAGTTTAAGTTAATCATTTATGGAAAAAAACTATAAAAGGTACATAAATGTTTAATGTCTCCGTGTTAAAAGTAGAAAAAATTAATAAATAGAAAAAATAATTTTTCTTTAATATACACCTTATTTATTCATCGATACACATGCCTTAAGTGCGGACACATTTTTTAGTAACTTTATTTTTGAAAATATATATTTTTAACATATTTTTTCCATTTAGAATATGATGGATTTTAATTAGGATCCATAATCCGTTTCATTTAGAATAAAGGTCAATTGAAGATATATGTTCTTACCATAAGTAACTTATACGGAGTATTTTATAAGGAGAACAATTATATCACATTCTCAAGATAATTATATTCTATCAGGCCCCGTTTGGTACACAGAATTCAAACTATGGAATTGGAATTGAGGACTTCAATTCCAATTCTGGTGTTTGGTAGCTAGACCTGGCAAAACAGAACCGGAACCGATTACCCGAACCGAAATATCCGAAACCGAAAACGGAATGACCCGAAAAATGAAAATCCGATCTATAACCGAAAACCCGAAATGATCCGAATCGAACCGAAACTGAACTAAATAATTCATATCCGATTTAAATCCAAAACCGATTAGATCCAAACCGATAATATCCAAACCGATTAAACCCGAAACCGAATAGATCCGAACCCGATAATACCTGAAACCGATAAAATCCGAAACCGATTAGATCTGAAACCGATAATATCCGAACCCGATTAAAACTAAAATCGATAAATTCAGAACTATGTTTGCCTTTCAATAAGCATACTATATTTTTAAATTTTTACTTTTATTTTACCATTTGAACTAATTACATTACTTGCCCATTTCCTCATAAAATTGATTATCTTCTTGAAAAAAAGTACAAAATTTTATGTCTTAAATTTGTTATATGTAGAAATTAAAGATAAGTTATACATATAAATGATAACGCACAAATAAATAAAATTTTCGTAATTTTTGAATAGTGAAGTGTGATATTCTTTTTGGAACGAAAGGAATATATGATGAATTGTATGGAATAACTAGATTTTATCCTAATTTCATCTCATTACAATAAATTTTATTGATTTGAGAGTTAATTTGATTAGTTTCAAACCAATTCACTCAATATTAATCAATAAAATTAGATGCTGGTGTTAGCATTTTGAAAAGACTCGCTTGCAGCAGCCTTTGCTGTTATCATTTTCAAATTTGATCTACACCATTACATTTAGGTGTAAAATTAATTACGTAGTATATTTGACTTTATTAAATTTAATTTTCTCTATTTTCAACCAAATATACTCAATAATTTACAAATTTTGCACTCAATTGAATAAAATTCACTTAATTTCACCCAATTTTACTCAATTTTTACCACATTGTATTCAAATGGAACATAAGATTATTTGAATTTATCTTTTATCCTTTCATTTATGTACATAAGTATGTTACGGAGTAGTAGATGTGAGAAAAATTTGATATTTCAAAACTAATTTTTAAAATCAATTTAATTATATTAAATTTATATCATAATTAAAAATATATGTTTTCATAATTTGTAGTCCAAATTTGTAAAATATGACTAAAAAGTCAAAAATGGAAGATTATTTAGGGTAGAGATAATATAACTAGAAAAAAATATAAAATAATATGAGGTATTGAATTGATGATAGATTAATAAATGTGATAAAACATAAAAAGAAACACAAATAGTTAAATTTTAATTAGAAAATAATATATATCCAAAATATATTTGATCCGAAACCGAAATATATCCGAACCGAACTAGACCCGAAACCAAAATATATCCGACTCAAATTGTATCCGAACCGAAATTTATCCGAACCGATTTATAACCGAACCGTATTTGAACCGACTCAAATCCGAACTGAACCGAAAAATGTATAGAACCGAAATCAAATCCGAACCGAAATTTAACCGATCCGAACCGAACCGAACCGATTATAACATATAACCGAAATATATCTGAACCGAAAAAATCCAACCCGAAATCGATCCGGTTGATCCGATTGCCACCTCTATTGGTAGCACAAAAATTATGTGGATTTCGAATTGATAGTGCAAAAAATGAATTGAAATTGGCAGAATTCAATTCTATGGAATTGAACTTCATGGAATTTCAATTCCAATTCCATCAATTCCTTATACCAAACGGACCCTCAAAGTTAATTCTGAAATTTTTTGTTATTCACAAATAAGAGTTTTAGCTTTTACTCAATTTCATAAAATTTCATTAAGAGTCAAAATTCTTCCATAATACTTCATCCCTCGGATTATAATCTTCTAATTTGATTTTATTGGTCAAATTTTGAAAATATTGACTTCTATATATGAAAAAAATAATTTTTGTGTCTCTATAAATGTAATATCAATATTTGATATTATCTTAAAACTTTATTTTGAAATATGAAATTTTCATAAGATATGATAAGTATATATATTGATACTAATCATTAAAAAGTTGGATTGGAAATCGTTAAAAATTAAATGAGATGATTAAATCTACTTATACAATGAGAACTCCTAAAATTGTTATTTTTTCAAGATAGGTAGCGACGAAATCCTTTCTTTTTCTTTGGCATAATCCTGCTAACTTAAATTTAAAAATAATAAAATTTATTCTGAAGAGTATATGCTAACTAATTATTCCATAAAAATGAATGACTCTAAATCAACCTTTTATGAAAAAATATAAATATAAATTAAATAAAAAGTGTTCTTTACCCCCTATATTTATATATGATGCACAAATTGGTTTATTTGAATGATTCTAAAAACACTATTAATGAACTATCTCGGTTTGTTTTGTTGTCAAATTTTGAATAATCCTTAAGATTAACAGCATGAAACTCACAAAAAACTACTCTGTATATTGTCACTATGTTCAATCAATTAAAAAAAGATTAAAATAGTTCCCAATCACTATTCCGTATATTGATTTAAATTTCTAACTCATTAAAATAATAAATAGGTAGCGGATGACTTGTTAAAAGAATGCCAAATAGACCCGCCATTGCGCCACATGTCAAAATTCTGTGAACCGAGTATCAAATATTATAGTAAAGGATTTGATTTAAGTTATTTTCAATGTAATATATTAGAGAATTAGAGTGTAATTAAAAAATAAACTTTTTATTTTTGCATCGTAAAACACAAACGTTTATTACCAAAGTCAATATTGTCCATGTTGGAAATCTTAGAAAAAATTGGACATTTTTGGACATAAATTTAGTAGGGTCTACAAAATTATTTTTCGAAATAATTATGAACATTTAATCTCGTAAGTAAGACGAATTTCTTGACATATTACACGCCATAAACGGTGTTTGGGTGAATGAGAAATTAATTCTTAAAATTGGATATGAGAAAAGATAAAAGCCCTTGTCCCACACCGATTTTTGAATCTTTCATATTCTCATATTTAAGCATATGCATTTAATTGAGTTTATGAAAGGAACAAGAAGAGGACTCCTCGCGCGCTGCTGCCGCCGTCCGGCACGTCACGCGCGTGGTGGGGCGATATTTAGCCTTAAAATTTTCTTTAGGATTTATGTTGTGATAATAACTTGTACTCTTTTGTAAACATATTCATGAATATTACCAATAAATCTTTGTGGAGAGATCACACTAGGTAGTAACCTAGGATTTGTCTATGTAAAATTGGTGATCTTTATTTTTGGTCCGTGTAAAATATTTTATTGTTAAATCATTTTTACAAAATTTTTACTCTTTAAAATGGTTCTTAAAAATAATTTACACTTTTAATATATTGAGATAACACATTTATTTCATACTAAACATCTTGGTCCTACATTTCAACTACCTCCAATGTAATTCTCATGCCTTAAATTGTATTATTATCCATATTTCATCTCCCATTCTTATTTCTCTAAGAATATATAATATGATAAAATTTAGAAATTAGGTTGTAATTTGTTGAAAAAAAAACAGTCTATGACATGAGAATTGTGCTCGAGGTAATTAGAAATGCAATATTAAGTTGTTGAGTATAAATTAAATATAATGTGTAATCTCAACAAATTAAAAGTCTAAATTTTATTTAAGGACTAGTTTAAAAATAAAAAAATTGTAAAGATGACTTAACAATTTTTTTTAAAGAGACTAAAAACAAAAATAACTTATTTTACCAGGACTAAGAAAATATTTAACACTATTCATTATCAGGTGAAGTTTGTGTAGACATCTACATGGACACACACATAAATATAAGCATATTACCTTTGTGAGTTGTCCAAAAGTAATGTATGAAGAGATAATTGATCTTAGTGGTTAGATATATCATTCTTTTTTAAAGACAAGAATTTATAATAAAAATAATTTTGTTCTTTGTGTATTCTTTGTATTTAATAGCTTTAAAACCTAGAATAATACTCCCCTCGTCCTAAAATATTTGCCACACTTGCTTTTTCAATACTCGCAGAAACTTTTGTTTATTTTTATGTTTTCATTGGTTATTTGATAAAATAAAATATTCTTGACACCTCTTATTTCGAAGAATTTTTTCATGTAGTTTTTTGATATGTAAATTTTACTTTTTATTTCTATACCAATATGTAAATAAAATAAATTAAAAAAACTTAATATTTTACCTTGGTAATAGAAGTGTGTCAAACATTTAGGGACGGAGGGAGTAATGTATATGCGTATTATTCGACAATAATTTTTATGTAGATTTTTCTTAACTTTTAAAGTTTATACTCCCCCCGTCCCATAGTATTTGTCCACTTTCATTTTTACACATCATTCAATGCACTTATTTAATCCATTTTATCTTGTAATTTGTATATTAAAAAATTATAGAAATTATATATTAATAATCTATATGTTAAGACAAATCAAACAAGATCACACATAACTATATTTAGGCTTACATATTGAGACAATTTGATGAGTCAAAGTACTTAGATGAACCGTTCTAAAAGTCAAAAATGGACGAATATAGCGGGACAGAGGGAGTATAAATTTTTACGGAGTATATAAATTATATATCTATTAAATTATTGCTCTATTTATTTCCCTTTCTCAAAATTAACATTTTCTTGTGTAAGGCATAGATGAAATGCTAGTTGTTTTAAATGATGTACTCCGTAATTAGTAAAACTAATTTTAAAAGGATAAAATTTTATACAGTAGATTAATTTCATTTTTATTAGGGAGTAGTTTAATTTTGCTGTTGGTACTGGATGGATATTTCGCCATGTGGTGGATAGAGACTCTCTTCCCCGCCGAACGGTTCCGCTCACCTATGCGCAGGCCCGAGAAACATCGGATTGTTAATGGCGAAATCTGTCGGAATGATTTGCAGGAGGATGAACCAGTGAAGGATGCAACAACCGATGCTGTCGAATATGCTCCGCCACGCCACTACCGTCCTCGATCGGCATAGCCATTGTTGCCGTCGGTATATACCGCCACCGCGTGGGCGGAGCTGCCTTCAATCAGATCTGTGATCATTCGCATTCCGAATCTCACTCTCACTGATCGCGAGAACCATCATCGCTTACAAGGTGATCGATCTCACTTTCCATCGTTTTCTCCTTTCACACCAAAAATCTCTAATAATTGACTTGTTCCATCTGTTGTTGAATGAGGGGTCTTGTCTGCTTCTGTTGAAAGCACATTTCTTTTGTTGAAAATTATATTTTGGAAGCTAACAATATGGTTTTGTTGTACTCCCCAGTCCAGTTTTTTATATGAATTTTTAATAGCCTCACTTTTGGGTCTGAATTAGAATCTTAACGTTTGTATCCACTCAGCCAGAAATATGTAATTATGCGCAGATTTTTTGGTATAAGAGTGACACTCTAAACTCGGGTATTAACTGTATGGATAAACTTCTACGATAGACAAACAAAACCGATCGAGTGCAGTTCTCATTGGTCCAAATCGAGAGTTAAAATTGTGTGGCTGGAATTTATGTAGAGGAGAGACAAATTACATGTAAAACTTTAGTATGATTCCCCAAGGTGTATGCCTGGTAAGAAATTACCTGAAACAATTTTGGAAATAAATTCCATACATGAGTTTTGGTTGGTGGAAGCATGTATAATCACTTTATTATAAAGGATTGCCTGCTTGTATTGATGGCACATTTCTGTTATTGAAAAAAATGTTGGAGGCAAACAAAATGCGGGGAAATAAAAGATAGGCTAAGGCTTAGGCATTGTTTGGAATGAGGTAAGCTAGTTAATGAGACCTACCTAAGCCCTACCTTGAGAATAAAAGGTATGAGATAGTCATTTTTAGGCCTTGTTTGAAAGGAAAAAAAATATTTTTTTATTTTCCTTTGCATTTTTCAAGGTGAAACCTAACATAAGAAAACAACTTTCCTTCCATTTGTTTAAAAATTTTATGCAGTATAATTAAATCTTGTATTGATGTCGAGAATGCGAGATTGAGAAAAACCCTTCTAACTATGTGTGTACTTTCGCTACTCGTATTAGTTTTAATTTTTAAATCTTGGTCTTGGATTGGCATCCATATCTCTGGCTTTTGTGAGCTATAGTTTTCTCAACTCCCACTGACTCTGATCTTCTATGGTTTCTTTGAGCAATTACTACTTTCGGGCCCGTTTTTAATATGGATTTATAATTTTTTCACATTGGTGTGTAAATTCAACCGTAATGCATTAATTCCATCAGCTAGAATATCAATATAAAAATGTTTGAATTTGTTGGGTAGCTATGTGGCATGTGCACATTTGTATAGATTTATTGATTTATTGATATTTATAGAGTAACACCATACAACCTGGTATACCTATTTGAATCAACTTAATAGGGAGTTATAGGATAAATAACCAAAATAAAAATGAAAACAAGCCATGCATTTTAGACAGGATTTATACTGCCCTGCCTAAAAGGTCATAGAGTGGCTAGCGTCTCTGTTCTCTCCATTGTTCTATATATACTCAATGCAGTTCATACTTCATAGTAATGGCCTAGCCTTCCTGAAAGAAACCGCCCATTAAGAATGACCAAAAAGAGCTTAAACGCCACCAATCAAGCAGTTTAGCTAGGTTGGAAGAGAGCCCATAACGTATGCGAACCATAGTGCATTAAGAAGATAATCACTGGATGATATTTTCGTGTCTTTCTGCTCAGCCTAAAAAGAGGCTTTGGGTTAGTAGGAGGGGTTGTTTCCTCTTTATTTGAATGACAAATTCTTGCCTGGATATAATAAAGGTCTCTGGTAAATCTTCATGTAAATCAAATAAGCATTTATTTACTACTATTGCGATAAGCATTATTCAATTTCTTTTAAAAAAAATGAATATTTGGGTGAGAAGGTTCATGTGGACTTCGTGGGACAATAGAATTTCTTATCAGCCTAACCTCATGTTTTTTTTTTGCCTTTTGATTTTGTAGCTTCTGACTTCTGTAGTGGTTGTGCTTTCAGCAGCCGAGGATTCACTGAGAGCTGTGGTGCCTACTTGCAGTAATATGATCAAGGAATTTAAAGGTATAAAAAGTTCTAAAATAGTATTCACTGTAAATTTTAAAAAAGAAACCGTAAATTGGTAAATTGGACAGAAACATGACGCGTAAGTGTTAATAGTCCTACAATATAATTATAAAGCCGATCCCATTCACATGTGTTTAATTCGCTCATTATGCAAAATATCTAACAAAAACATGAAATTGAAGTGGAAATGACAATGCTATAAATGAATAGTAACGGTATTCATCATACAAGATGATATGAATGTAGTGTTAAGAATAATCACATAGTGTACTGAATTTCTCCTCTACTCGAACTCAATTTATACTGCTAGCTAGCTTTCAGTAGTAGTGGAATCTACAAAATTCCTAAATATTGACCAGACTCCAATCATCAAATCAGTGATTGAGTTGGAAGATGAACCATGGCAAGGCAGAGCTCTTGGGAGGGTTGAGCCCTAAAGGCCCAAAGCTGGACGAGGTCGCCTGTGACCAATCGATTCCTCTCCCGGACTAAGTTCCAATTGGTGATCAAATTGTAAATGCAGTTGGCAGACATATCCCACTTCTTCAGGGTGATAGGGTAGACAGAGGTGCCGTCAGGTTCAATCAACGGAACATTTTCAATCTTTGTTCCAGAGTGAAGAGTTTGCTTCTCTTGAGGTGTCAAGAAATCGTTGGCCACCTGTTTTGATGGAATAGAGAATCTGCCCTTGTATGGTGCGGTGTCAGACTCGAAGAGCTTCTTTTGGATGACGAGAACCGCCTCCTCCGCCTTCCCTTTCATCTCCCTCACTTTGTGCCTGAAATCTGGCGGCAGCTCGACCACCGCCGCCAAACAAGAAGCACTGTTATTAGTCACTTTCCTCCTCTTGTTGGTGTTGTCTTTGTTCAGTGGAATTGGAGCACTTGCAGAAGCCTTTCTCTTCTTCTCATTCTCCTTTGATGCATGTGGAAGACTTTGGAGAGCAATTCCCTTCTTCTCATCCTCGAGTTCTTGCTGGGCAGTTTCAGCAGCGAGCAAAAGCCAGTCGAAGCGAGTCATCGTTTGCGGCTGATGGAGAGGAAAGGCGGGTCTTAAGAACCCATTATTATTTTCATCACATCTGGGCAGTCTCTTGACCGGTAAAGACCTTTTCTTGGTGGGATTGCAGCCAAGAAGAAGAAGATGATGAAAATCGCATTCTTCTTCTTCTTCTTTCAAGAACCCATTCTTATTGTCATCACATCTGGGCAGCTTCTTGACCGGCAAAGACCTTCTTTTCTTGGCGGGATTGCAACCAAGAAGAAGATGATGATGAAGATCGCATTCTTCTTCTTCTTCTTCTTCTTGCAAGAACCCATTATTATTGTTGTCACATCTGGGCCGCTTCTTGACCGGCAAAGACCTTTTCTTGGCGGGATTGCAACCAAGAAGAAGATGAGGAAGATCATCATATTCTTCTTCTTTCAAGAACGCCATTATTTCTCTCCTCTCTTGAATTCAGCAGAGCAAGAAGTGAAATATAAACTGAAGAAGAAAGGGATTAATCGACTGTGATTGGAAATAAATGGCGGCGCAAATCTACCTGAGGCTTACTACTGATGGAGGGAATTTAAAGGGAATGGAGTAAGTGGGTATCAATTCCCCAATTCAAATATAAACCCTAATTGATCTGTGCGATTTAGCCGCGTTAAGGCGCGCTCCTCTTAACGGTAATAATTGTTGACTCTTTGACCCCGGCTATTCTCATTATTACTCGTACTTTACTTTCATAATCTTAGTGTACTTAATGATTGTTTTTGTTTGGATTTAATATCGGAATTTAGAGAAAAAAAAATGGATCCAAGTTCACGGCAAAAAGTGAATAAATTTGTTGGCCTTATATGTGTGGTGTCATTTTTGGTTTTAAAAATAAATACTAATGTTTAAACTCTTTTCAAAATTTATTTTTAAAATTTTCACTATTTTATAAAGTTTTATCTATACTCTTTTGTAATCAATCCTGGTGGCAACAAGGCCAACGAGAAGAAGCGGAATCTTCTCGATGCCCGAGTAAAATGAGGAATATCATGTACGCATGTATCATTCTTCATAATATGATCATAGAAAACAACGGGTTTGCGATTTGTCATTACCACCTGGACGAGGAGATGTCTATGTACAAAGAAATCAATGAAGAAAAGAAACGAAGAAACTGCCAAGTAATTCGAAGCCGAGTGATTCACAATGCACTAACGGCGGATTTGATTGAAGATATCTTTAATTACTCAAACAATCTGTAATTTATTTGTACTTTCCTTTTTTTAATGAATGCAATTTTTTTAATGAACTATTCTTGTTTCAATTTAATTAAATAATTAAATTTTATTAATTTAATTTTAGAAATTGTGTATTTAAAATGTAAACATGAAGGTTTGAAGCCCCGAAGATTCAAACCAATTTTCACTGAAACTGTGTGTTAAGTTATAGTTGGCATGACAAAGAGAAAGGTTTGAAGCCCCAGTCCTGGGATTTCAGGGGTTTTTCTAGTCCTCTAAACTGAGTTTACAAATTTTTGCCAAGTCACTTTACTCTAATGGTTGAAGTTTGAACCTGTTCTAAAAAGCCACCATTACTACCACTTTAAGTAAGCAAATATATACTCCACCAGTGATAGTGCTAGAGATAATAAAAGCCTCATTTCGCAATATATCCGATGTTTAATTTTAATTAATGTAATGTTATGGAGGAGTTATATTTAGTATAATGGTAACATTTAACTTAATCGAAAACATTATTTTAAAGGAGACTAGAAATTAAATATTTTTCTTTCGTCCCATAAAAATGTTCTAGATAATATAAAAACTAGGATTGGTGGAATGGTGTAAGTCGTAGATTAAAGTAAACACACATCTACTTTCGGACCCACGCGGAATTGATTATCAATAATAAGTTTGTGATAGGTCAATGACAAGACGACTCCATTTATGGATTACCAAAAGTTATAAATTCTCAGTACTGTCAACTGGGGATAACATGCACAAACACTCAGGGGAAGGGTTAACATGTACTCCTTCCGTCCTAAAACTAACTTTCCAATTTGACTTTTGTGGTTTAACTTTTTAAGCTTTGACCTTATATTACGGAAAAAATACATTGAATTTTCATATAAATTTATTAGCAATAGATTCATTTTGAAACATAGTTTTGAAATATATACTACCTCCGTCCCACTGTCTTTGTCCACTTTTGACTTTTGGAACTGTTCATCTAAGCATTTTGACTCATCAAATTCTCTCAATGTGCAAGCCTAAATATAGTCATGTGTGATCTTGTTTGATTTGTCTTAACAAATAGATTATTAATATATAATTTCTATAATTTTTTAATATACAAATTATAAGATAAAATGGATTAAAGAAGTGCATTGGATGGTGTGCCAAAGGTAAGTGGACAAAGACAGTGGGACGGAGGGAGTAATTTTTATATAAAAGTTGAGATATGGATGGTCAAAGTGTCGCTGGAGACTGTGAAAAGTCAAATGAAAAATTAATTTTAGGACGGAGGGAGTATTATCTCTAATCCGAGTGTATTGCCTCGTTTGACTTTAAATGTCAATTAAGAGAAATGCTTGATTCACAAAAACAATGATCACAAACTTCGTAAATCTACTATTTGTGAATTTCAATTAAAAAATAAGTAATCTGAAATAATTATAAAATAAAAATTTAAACTATAAATAATAAGTTTATAAAATTTGTTACCTTTCTATTTGTGAATCTAGCCAATTAAACAAAAACTTTGATCCACATTAATTTTCCATCCTCTACATATATATATATATATATATATATATATATATAAACAAATAAACAATAATTTCTTCTTCCAAAATTAATTTTCTCAACCGCCTTCTATAACTTCTTTCGTATGCATATAACAGAAAGGAGTGTTAATGGCTAAATTTCTGGGACTGATTTGCAGGAGGATGAACCGGTGAACGATGCAACGACCGATGCTGTAGAATATGCTCCGCCACGCCACTACCGACCTCGATCGGCATGGCCATTGTTGCCGTCGGTGTGTACCGCCGCCGCGTGGGCGGAGTCGCCTGCTATCAGATCTATGCTCATTTGCATTCTAAATCTCACTCTCACTGACCGCGAGAACAATCAATCATCGCTTATAAGGTGATCGATCTCACTTTCCTTCGTTTTCTCCTTTCTTACTGAAAATCTCTAATGATTGAGTGACCTTCTCTGTTTGTGTTGGAAGCACATTTCTATTGTTGAAAATTAAATATTGGAAGCTAAGAAAATGGATTTATGGAATGTAAAGACCAGTGTTTAAAATGAATTTTTAATAGCCTCGCTTTTGTGTCTGAATTAGCATCTTAACGTCTGGATCCACTCAGCCAGTAATATGTAATTATGCGTAGATTTTTTGGTATAAGAGATACACTTTAAACTCGGGTATTAACTATATGGATAAACTTATATGATAAACAAAACCGATCGAGTGCAGTTCTCTTTGGTCCAATTAAACTCGGTCCCGTTTTCTGCTCCTTTCCCACATTGCATTATCGATGCGGGGTTTCAACTCTGTTGCGCTCCAAGTGGCCTTTTCCTCTTTTTTTTTCTTTCTAATACTCCATCAGCTTATCCTCTGCTTTATTCTCTGCTTCTTTAGTGGTTGTGCTTATGGTAGCTTAGGATTCACAATGTGGTGATGTGCCAACTTGTATTGATACGACTAATGGATTATATTAAGTGTAAAAGAAGAAATTTTGAACTAGTACAGTAGTTTAGGAAGCATACAAGAAAAAAGAGTGTTTATTTAACAAAATTACGCTTCAGTTTGGTTTAATATAGCCCCCTCTCAACTTTCACTCTTGTGTTAAGAGCTATAATCCTTCTATTGAAGCCAGTCTATTCTGCAAAGACTTGGAGGCAACAATCCATTTATGTACTTGGAGGCAACTATCCATTTATGCAATACAAATAACAAAAAATTAATGAATTATATCTCATATATTTATTGAATTTGAAATCTTTTAATAGGAAATGTGAAATTTTATTTTATTATAAACAACTAATTGTATGAAATGAAACACAATTTAGTTGGGGTCCCCTCAATTTTAATTGAGGACCAATGTACATATAGCCTAAATAAATACCCGCATATCATTTATGAAGGGTCGTCTGCTTGTATCTAAGGCACATTTATGTTATTGAAAATAAAATTTTGGAAGCAAACAAACTGCGGGGAAACAAACATTTGTACCGATTTATTGATATTTATAGAGTAACACCATACAACTTGGTATACCTATTTGGATCAACTTAATAAGGAGTTATATGATAAATAACCAAAATAAGAAATGAAAACAAGCAATGCATATTAAACAGGATTTATACTGTCCTGCCTTAAAGGTCATAGAGTGGCTAGCGTCTCTGTTCTCTCTATTGTTCTATATATACACTCAATGCACTTCATACTTCATAGTAATGGCCTAGCCTTCCTAAAAGAAACCACCCATTAAGAATGACCAAAAAAGAGCTTAAACGCCACCAATCAAGCAGTTTAGCTAGTTGGAAAAGAGCCCATATTGTATGCGAATCATAGTGCATTAAGAAGATAATCACTAGATGATATTTTCGTGACTTTCTACTTGTTGGGAAAATCACCTCAATTTTCTAGCGGAAGCAATAAATAATTTTCCCGTCTTTGTGTTGTCAAAATGGACAAAAATCATATGACCGATCAAGAATAGAAAACACAACAACAAGCAATCAATCAAACGATAAACGAACACCAAGATTTAACGTGGAAACCCCAAATCGGGGAGAAAACCACGAAGCCTTCCACTAGTCACCAAGAAAAATCAGTGGGTACACCAAGAATCCTCTCTAAATCAAATAGAGGTATACACAATCATCAAGCAACAACTTGGAACACCAAACAACAATAATCTTCACTCAAAAGTGAGAAAACCATACAAAAACGCAGCAGAGAAACAGAGGCGTTTTTACCGACATCGAGAGGTCAAAACAACAATCCCACCGTTGGATATGAAGAAGAGGATGTCAGGAACAACATACTAAAATTTCATCCCGATCGGAGCTCGTTTGGTCATCGATCGGAGCACAAAACCAAGCTGCACCTCTCTTTTTCTCTCTTCTTCCTTCTCTCGGCTTCACCCTCTTTTTTCCTCTCGGTTTTTCTGCGCTGTTCGGCTACTCACTTCTGTCCGTGACCTACTGCCCGTGTCAAGTAGCCAAAAGGCTTTTGCCTTTACAATAAAGTGGCATTCCCACTTTGACATTTCCTTTCTTTTTTTTTCTTTATAACAACAATAATAATAATAAATATTATTATTATATTACTCCACCCCTAAACAAATTATATTTTTAACACTAAATGTGTTGTTTAGGAACTCCTTCCTCCATGTAGGAGGGATACCCCAACACTATTCAACCCAAAAAGAGGCTTTGGGTTGGTAGGAGGGTTGTTTCCTCTTTATTTGAATGACAAATTCTTGCCTGGATATAATTAAGGTCTTTGGTAGATCTTCATGTAAATCAAATAAGCATTTATTTACTACTTATTAAATATATTCCTACTATATTTAATATTGATGTATATTGGTAGCTACCATATTTGTATAGGGTGTATTAATTATTGTTTCCTATTGTCATTAGGAAACTCTTGTATATATACACTTGTAATCACTCATTATTATTCAATAGAAAATATTCATTCTTCACTACTGATAGAATTTTTAGGATTGGGTGTGGACAACTAGATTGGGTAATAAGACACTTGAGTTGAACAACATTAAAAGATTGAATCCAATCTAGTTGTCCACACCCAATCCTAAAAATTCTATCATGGTATCGGAGTCTCGTTGACTAACAGGTCACGGGTTCGAAACTCAGCGACACCTAGTTTAAAAAAAATTAAGGTTTTACGTGCAAGGCTAAAAAAATGTTAGAATATAAATAACTGTTCTTGGGCCACAACCACAAGCTTGACCTTTTGGTTGAATTGGTTTCTTGACATGGTTGTGGCCCAAGAACAGTTATTTATATTCTAACAACTACTATTGCAATAAGCATTATTCAATTTCTTTTGAAAAAAATGAATATTTGGGTGAGAAGGTTCATGTGGACTTCGTGGGACAATAGAATTTCTTATCAGCCTAACCTCTTGCTTTTTTTTTTGCCTTTTGATTTTCTAGCTTCTGACTTCTGTAGTGGTTGTGCTTTCAGCAGCTGAGGATTCACTGAGAGTTGCGGTGCCTACTTGCAGTAATATGATCAGGGAATTTAAAGGTATAAGAAGTTCTAAAATAGTATTCACCGTAAATTTTAAAATGTAAACAGTAAATTGGACAGAAACATGATGAGTATGTGTTAATAGTCCTACAATATAATACTCCGTAATAAGGCGGATCCCATTCACATGTGTGTAATGCGCCCATTATGAAAAATATCTCACAAAAACATGAAATTGAAGTGGAAATGACAATGCTATAAATGAATAGTAACGAGGGTATTCATCATACAAGATGATATGAATGTAGTGTTAAGAATAATCACATAGTGTACTGAATTTCTCCTCTACTTGAACTCAATTTAAACTGCTAGCTAGTTTTCAGTAGTAGTGGAATCTACAAAATTCCTAAATATTGACCAGACTCCAATCATCAAATCAGTGATTGTGTTGGAAGATGAACCATGGCAAGGCAGAGCTCTTGGGAGGGTTGAGCCCTGAAGGCCCAAAGCTGGACGAGGTCGCCTTCGACCAACCTATTCCGATCCCTGACAGCGTTCCAATTGGTGATCAAATTGTAAATGCAGTTGGCGGACATATCCCATTTGGACAGGGTCATAGGGCAGACAGAGGTGCAGTTGGGTTCTATAAACTGAACATTTTCAATCTTTGCTCCAGAGTGGAGAGTTTGCTTCTCTTGAGGTGTCAAAAAGTCGTTGGCCACCTGTTTTGATGGAATAGAGAATCTGCCATTGTTTGGGTCAATGTCAGACTGGAAGAGCTTCTTTTGGATGACGAGAACCTCCTCCGCCTTCCCTTTCATCTCCCTCACTTTATGCTTGAACTCTGGTGGCAGCTCCACCGCTGCGGAACAAGAAGCACTGTTATTAGTCACCTTCCTCCTCTTGTTCTTGTTGACGTAGTTCAACGGATGAGGGTGACTTGCAGAAGAAGAAGCCTTTCTCTTTCTCTTATTCTCATTCAGCTCCTTGGATGCATCCGGATGAATTTCAAGAGCGATTTCACTCTTCTTTTTCTTCTTCTCGTTCTCAAATTCTTGCAGGGCAATCTCAGCAGCGTGCAAGAGCCAGTCGAATCGAGTCATTGTTTGCTGCGGCTGATGGATGGGAAAGACGGGTCTCAAAAACCCATCTTTGATGTCACATCGGGGCCGCATCCTGGTAGGAAAAGACCTCTTTTTCTTGGCGGGATTGCAACCAAGAAGATGATGATATTCTTCTCCTTTTTCTTTCAAGAACGCCATCTCTATCTCTCTGCAGTACAGTCACAGAGAATCGAATGGAAATTGAAGTGAAAACAAGAAAGCAATTGAGAGAAATTGGTCTTCAATTCAGCAGAAAGAGATTCGAATTGAAGAACGAAGAAGAAGGTATGAGAGAAATTGGAAACGAGGGAGGCGCGCCGCAAATCCACCTGAGAGCGTACTTACTGGCGAGAGTTGAATGGGGATTAAATATGGCAATTTCCCCAATTCAAATATTAAACCCTAATTAATCTGTGCGCCATCTAGCCGCGTTAAGGCGCGCTCCTCTTAACGGTAAGAATGGTTGACTCTCTTTGACCTCTAAAAGTTGTTTCTGATTTCAAAAAATCACACGTATACCAAAAGTTTCATAGATTGGAGCTGAGCATAGTTACCTGTTTTCCAAGTTGTTGAAGTCTAAGAGACACTGATTTTGTGATTAGGTTGTCTCTTGGACTTCATTTGATCTAGAGCAACGAGAATACTCTTCCATTTTTATCTTGACATCACTTTATATTTTCATTTTCAATATACTTTCTATTTTCATTTTAATTTCTTGGTTTTTTTGAAAAAAAGTACTTCGTAACTTTTTTGGCAGTTCAAAAGATAAAATGTGGTCTCCAATATATTTTTTTGAAAATTAAAAAAGTAACTTTAGTTGGAACATCCAAAAAGATGCATTATTAGCACATGCACTTAGGGGGGAGCTAGGGGCGTCTAAGAGCACTAGTAATGGGCGTAACGCCCGGGGCGTTATTACCCCTTTTAACGTCAAAGGGGCAGCAAACACCGCCCCTTAGGGCTTCATCCGGGCTTCATTTCTTCTACTTCAAATGTTTAACGGGCTTCAAAGCTCTCCCCCCATCTCACTCTCTCTTTAAAAAAATATACACAAACATATTTTTTTTACTCTATATTTTGTTGTTTAATGTAATACAGAGTATTTTTTTGTTTAAATTTTTTTAGTAATTTAATTTTGTTTTGTTTTTTATTAAATTTAACATACTTTTTTTATTGACTATATTTTTTATTTGATAATTATTTCAGTTTGCAATATGTTACTACAACTTGGATTTGAATGAAGATATTTTTAGTTGCTCGAATAATTAGTAATTTTTTTGTAGTGTTATTTTTTTATGGATGTGATATTTTTTTAATGAATGAAACTTTTTTATGAATGTATTCTTCTATGAATGTAATATTTTTTTAATGAATGTAATTTTTTAATGCACTAATCTCCTTTTGATTAATTTAAATAATAAATTAATTAAAATTTAATAATTTAAATTTAGAAGATGTATATTTAAAAATGTAAAAAAATGAAGGTTTGAAGCCCCGTGGCTTCAAACCCATTTCCAGTGAATTTTTTGTGTAAGTTAAAGCTGACGTGGCAGAGAGAGAGAGAGAGAGTTTGAAGCCCCGAGGCTTCACGAGTATTTCCAGTGCTCTAACCCGATCAAAATCGAGTACTTCTAAGTAAAAGGGGTACACCACCGCAAGTTCCTCAAGTACTTCGTGTCAGGATGATTTTTGGGTTCCTTTAGGGTCTGTTCCGTAGGACTTATTTTTTCTACTTATTACTTGTTCTTATAAAAATCAGATCTTATTAAATTAGATCCGCTCAGATCAGATTCAATCAGATCAGATCAAATATAATTAGATAAGATCAGATCCAATCAGATCAGACCAGATCCCATCAGATTAGATCAAATTAAATAATATCAAATCAATAAAAAAATAATATTTATATTTTTCAATTATTAAATACTCCTAAATCTTAATTACTTTATTTAAAACTACACATACATAAATCTTAATTAATAATATAATTTTAATTGTTACTATTGTTGTTATATTATTATTATAATTGTTGTTGTTGTTGTTGTTATACAAACAAGAACGCTACTTTTGCCGTGCATTCCACATGGGTTCATAACTAACTTGTAATATATTTATTGTTATTCGAGTTGGCCCAATAGACCTTGCCAATCGTCGATCCATAATATACAAACAAGAACAATTGGCTTTCAACCATCGTGCTTGTTCAACCGATCTTGCTTTATGGTCAACCTTGTCCCGATGCAGGGTCCTCTTCTTTGGTTTTCAAGGCCGGTCTTCTTCATTGAACTAGATACCCCATTCCTAGGGTATCCATCACAATGAGTTCTCATTGAGAAATTGCCTGGGTAGATGTCTTGGACAGGAGAACTAGTAAGGATTTGGACCATACTATACCTGGTTGGATGAAAGGGACTTGGTCGGACTAGGTTCGGTGCCAACAAAGTAATCTAAGAACATCCTTCATTGCACTACACTTCAAGAGGGAAAAACACAGAGAGAATGTTTCCAGATGAAAGAAGACAAGGAGTCAAGGAGCCATCTTTCAGGAACAAAGCTTGGGCCTATCACGTGACCAGACATTACGTCCACGATTCAATGTTGCCTACATGTCTCTTATCTTTACTATAAATATGCTTACAACCCTCAATATGAGGATCAGAATTTCCACTTAATACTCTTGCTTTTAATACTCTCATTTCTCAATAACTATTAGACTGCGCCTATTTTCACCTACAGTCTTCCCGATCAACCTCAAGTTAAGCGTGATTTTAGTAACTCTACCCAGCATAACGCCTTAGATACGATTTAGAGAATTCTACATGTGTGACTAATTTACACCATTAATGATCTAATTCTATATTCATCATATGTAGATATTTTTTTAGTCGTTATTAGAAGAAACTTAAAGAAATTTGAATAAATTAAAAGAAGTTGTAAAAAGTTGGAAGTTAACTCTTCTAACCCAAGTGAACATAGTCTTAGTATCAAGTAAGACAAAACATGAAGCAATGCCATTTTCAAAAAGAAAAAGATGGAAATTAAAATTATGCTAATAAATAGGTAATTGGATTTATCCAAATACAAATGCAAATTGAATTGGATTTGGTTTCATGTTAGATTCGATATAACCTGATCAAATTCAATATGGACTAGATGGTTGTTGATAATACTCCGTATGTTCAATTTTGATTTTTTTTTTACAGTTCAATCTTAATTTAAGTTAAGTACATAGAGTAATACGGAGTAGTTTTCTTTAAAAAGGTCAATATAATTACATTTAGTGCCCGTTTCATCCAAATAATTTTTTGAATTTAGTATTTATTATTATTAAAATCAAATTTGATCAGACCATATTAGATATAATTATATCAATAATATGGAATATATTGTTGTTGATAATATTCTGTATGTTCAATCTTGATATTTTTTTTATAGTTCGATTTTAATATAAGTACGGAGTAATAATTTTCTTAAAAAAGGTCATTATAATTACATTTAGTGTCCCCTTCATCCCAATAATTTTTTTAATTTACTATTTATTGTTATCAAAATCAAATCTGAGCAGACCAGATTAGATCAAATTAAAGGGAGAAAAACACAAATCCAATTATAAATGTATACACTTCATTATTAATTGATATGAATTACCATAAATCAAAGGAATTACATAAAAATATTGATCTCACACACACATGGATCATGGTATAGAAACAATATTGTAATAGAAATTAAATAAGATTACACTCCCCACTCATCACATTGTTTTCCAATACAAACATACAAACATGAGCCCAATTCCACTAAACACAAGAAGAAATTGAAGAAGATTTGGACCCAATTCAAGTGAACCATATCCATGTTAAATGTCTCTGTACTTGGCACACTCAATAGGAACTGTGGGGTATCTGGCCTTATCATAGCAGTAATTGTAAATGGTGTATTTTTGGCGAACCCAATGGAGCCTCCGGTACTGCTCGGCGTCGAGATCTTGGAAGGCCTTCTGGTCCCACCACCGCTTCCCGCTCGTGTTGCACACGTGGACCTCCTGCGGTGAGGTGGCGTCGCACCCGTCGACGTGGAAGGACGTGTAGGACGCTTTGAATGGGGCCTTGGACCAATCGGTTTTCTCGAGCCCCCCTCTCGTGGCCCAATCGTCGGCGCTCCACAGGCTCGAGTAGAGCTTCATGGGCTGGTAGAATGGGAACTTGAGGCCCAAATCCTTTGAATTCTTGAAGACCCTAATGGGCACGTTGTCCACTAGGAACCTGCATAATAAAGAACACAGCTAGAAAAAGTCAAGAACAAAGCTGGAGAAAAAAAGGGAACGTTGACCAAGTCAATCCCTTTGTCCAAGAATGGGTGGTAACTCCGTAAATTACTTGGGTACAAGGGTTCATAATTAGAATTTGACTAGGTAAGCATTTAAACAACCTACTGTACTTTTTGCATTGACATTTAATTATGAACATTGATTGATACGGTAATTAATACTCCCTCCGTCCCAAAATGTCCGACACGTTTCGAAAAAACTGTGTCCCGTAAAATCCGTTATATTTCTATTAGAAAAACCATTTTTACCCCTTGCTTTTTCATACCCTACCTATCACATCATATTTTCTTCCTAATAATCTACCCATCACATCTTACTTTTACCTATCACATCAAGGGTATTTTTGGAAAATCAACACCAAAATATCTTTTACTTAATTTCCCAAAAAGTCAATATGTACCAATCTTTTTGGGAGGAGGGAGTACTTTTTCGTCTCATAAAACTTTTCAAAATTTAAAAAATGTCTCAAAAATAGATAATTTTGATATTGTTTTTTAATTATGACTCAATTATTCTACACATCATATCATACTTTATCATAACATAAAGACAAAATTAGAAAATAATATCAAAAGTATACATGGTTAAGACGTGAATTTTTCCGTCTTTGAAAAGTTTTATGGGACGGAGAAAGTAGAATAAAAATGTATTATTCGAGTCTCCAACTAGTGTTGATAAGAGAGAAATTTTGTAAAACACACCAAATTTGTACATCAAGATTTTGGGGGGGGGGGGGGGGGTATTCAACTTATCCATCCAAAATCCAAGTCCCTTCCATGGGGGGAGAAAATATTAAAGTAGTGTAGAATAGACAAGTGATGAGATTAATGGGATGGGTGAATTATTTTAGTCCTTTCTCCAGTTTAGGTGAACAACCCCCCACAGATAAGGTAGATTAAGCCATGCCAACTACCCTCCAAAAAGTGGTGCCCCCCCCCTCCTCCCCAAATATACAGTTTAATTTATGTCAATGGACTAAACGTGTTTTTATTTCAGTTATATCCTCTGCAGCACTGCACTTTAAAATATTTGTTCATTATTAAATTTATTAGTCAAATTGAAAGAAAAAAAATTAATCATTAATTATATTTGTTTGGTGTGATAAAGTGAGACAATGAAAAATAAAATAAGAATTATCCACAAGATAAAGTACTAGTTTATAGTGTGCAATATAATAATTCTGATTTGATCAATGATAAAGTTTATCCAATTTGAACCAAATATTTCAAATTGGATGAATATTTTAGAACGAAACTAGAATACATAAAAATTACGCCAATGATTTTGCAAAACACATGATCAAGACCTTGGTCTCCCAGAACATTTTATGTTTTGACTTTTGAGAGAAGAAACTTTTAAAGTTTGACCAAAGTAAAACGACAATGATCGAAACAACTAGAGTTTGAGAAATGTCAAAATGGTAGGACATAGAAGCTAGTTGAAACATGTTTCTTTAGATTTTAAAAAAAGTAAAATGTCCATTTAACCTAAATTGAAGCTAGTTGAAGTATTTTTTGAGACAATTAAGATTTGAAAGTTTTACGGGAGGGAGGTAGTATTTTTATCATGAATTAATGGTCTTATTTTACTTTTTGGTCTATTCTAACAAATGTAGTAAAATTTCTTCATTTTTTATGTTCTAATATTTTTCTAAATCTTCATAAAATCAAATTGTACCAATTAACTCGAGACCGATTAACAATGGTAAAAGAATCATCGTAGAAACCCACCACGATTGACCTCAGACGACAACTGTTTGTGAATTAGCACACAAAGGCGACAACCGTCTGCAAGATTCCGAGACGATTATCACCCGTGGCGTCGACCGTGGTGAGTTTGTAACATTTTCAGCAAGTAGTGGTAATAACGGGGGCGGTACTCACACGATCATGTACATGTTCCAGAGAACGGCGTAGTCGTGGAAGCCGGTGGTGGGGTCGAACCAGAGGTAGATCCTCTGCTCGCGGTTGCCCTGGCCGCCGGTGAAGACGTTGGTCTGGAGGATGATGGGCTGCCCCGTCCGGTTCCCGAGGAACTCGAAGTCTATCTCGTCGTGCTCGGCGTTGTTCGACGACAGGTAGAAAGCCGTCACCACCCCCGCCGAGTCCCCTCCCACCAGCTTCATCCTCATGTTGAAATGCCCGAACAGGTACGAGTTCTTCGACTGGAACCCCGTCCCTGTTGTTTTTTTTTAGCACCAAAATTCAATTCAGTCAACCTCGCGGTATTTAACAGAAAATTAAATCGGCATTTCAGAAAAATAAAATACATAAGCTTCCGTTGAAATTGGGAATGAACTTATATTCCTTCCATCCTAAAATAAATTTTAAGGTCCATAAAAGTTTCGTTGCGAAATTGATGCTCCTCCGTCCTAAAATATTTTTTCTACTTTTTGTCTAACTTTAATTATTTTCTTTACTTATTTTTGTTAGTTATTTGATAAAATAATATACTTTTGTCACCTCTTGTTTTCGTTTTATAGAATTTTGAACGTAGTTTTTAAATAAATAAATTTTATTTTTTAATTTTACACCTACAATCAAATAAATTAAACTTATTAAGAGAGAGAGAGTAGTTTTCGGTCAATCTTTCCATTTCGAATTACGATGCTTGATCGACTTTATTTTTAAATCTTTTCAATTCAAATTCTTTGATTATAGATATAAAATTAAAAAATAAAAATTATATATTAAAAAAATACATGAAAAGATGAATAAAATTAGAGCTAACATGACTGTATTATATTATCAAATGAGTAACAAAAATAATGAAATAAAATACATAAAGTTTGACTCTCTAAATAGTATACATAAAGACTCAAGTTCTACACCCTGCTCCACATGTCCCCTCTCTTCTCCCCCAATTGGCTATAGCCAACTGACAAAGAAAGAAGAGGAAGGAGACAGGGGTGGGGGTTTAGAAGAGTACTTCTTATCAATTTTGTAAACGAGGCATTGTGCGCGCTTCAATCGGAGCACTATATCTCCTCCAATCAAAACTCAAAATCTTATTGAATTAAAATTGTACGTAGATGAGGCGAAAAGATTATGAGCTCCCTAGCAAAATAAGGTTCCTTGTTAGATTAGCACAAACTTTAAAAAAATAAAATTATTGAATAATAAAATGATGTAAAAGGAGATTTTGAACTCTTTCCTAAGTACGGAAGGGTTCTCGTGACATAGGAATCTCATGTCATGGGATGACTCGGTGTTTGTAAAATTGACGATCCCTACCCCTAACTCCCGATAAACCCTCTCACTCCGTTCCAACCCGAACATACCCTTCCACCGAAAATTTCAAAACAAGAAAGGGGTTTTTTTTGAAATGTCCCCAAAAAAAAGAGTCTTTTTTTTGGAAAGGGTAATTTGAAAGTTATGATAAAATAACGGATTTTCAAACACAAGAAATAATTGTACTTGTATATATGTTGGTAGAGAGAGAGAGAGAGGAATTGAAGGGGTACGTACCAGAGTTCCTATCAAGAACGAGGTCGACCGATTGACCGCCATTGATGTACTTGATGTGGTCAGCGGCCCAGGTGGGGACATAGTTCCTCGAGAAGGGAACGTCCACCGGCTTCCTCGGCGCGGCGGCCTCCACCACCGCTACCACCGTCAGCGCCGCCGCCAACCCCATTAATAACATCATGGCTCTGCCTCTCCCCATTTTCCCGGCCGCCGCGTTTGGTGGGTCAAATAAATGGGCCTGACCGGAGGAGCGAATTTAAATTAGACAAATGAATTCCGTGACGAGCTTTGAAAATGGGGAGTCGCTCTGGGCCGTATATATATATATATATATATATATAGTGACGACTGACGACGATACTGATTGACGAACAGATTGGATAAAGCTGTCCGCTTTGGCACAGCTGTGCATATCTTGCTTTCTTTCTCTCCCTTTCTTTCTTTTTTTGAATTTTATTATGCTAAGCATATCTTCTCTATAAGTACCAGATGCGGTATCCACTTTTTGACACCGATATGCGATTAAAATTCAATTTATCTTCTTTCGGTGATCGTTCGATCGGATGTGAGAGGCGCTCGGAGATGGAGCCCATCCTTTTTTTTCTTTTTAGGGTGTGTTGTTAAATTTACTCGCAAGAATCTCACTAAATTATTTGTTTTTGACAAAACAATCATTATCTTAATTTTTCTTCAAAAGAAATCACCTTAAATACCGTAAATAGAGTAAGAAAATAAGAGTTTCATGTTTTAATCCTCAAAATAAGAATTTGTACTGTAGTAATATGATACTATATATATATATATATATGCATTTCACACTACTTTTTGATAATGTATATTATCATGATTAGCACTGTAAATGCATTTTAACTCATATTTTAGAAATAAAAACATAATATTCTTCTTTTTATATATTTTTAATGTTTTACTCCTACTTTAGCCTTCTTCTTTTTTTAATAATACCATTAAACTCTTTAAAATATTCAAAAGTGTCACTGAATTCTTTTTCAAAGATGCTACACTCAATTTTTTATCATTCAATAATGTCATTAAATTCTCTGAAGTGGTCAAAAATAACATTCAAGTATTTCAAATAGTCACTATGCTTTTAATACGTAATTTTTTTGTTCTTTTTCTTAATTCTTGTATTAATTTTCAAAAAAAAAGTTTTTGCATTATTTTTTGAGTATGGTGCATCTAAGTCCACAAAAAAAATTTGGAATCTCATACAAAATGTTTTTTTAGTTAAAACATTCATCTATCTCAACAATAAGCATTTACCAAACTAGCATTTGATTAAAATATTTCTGACTTGTTTTTTTAATTTTTTGTAGAAGGTATTATCTGATTTGAAAACTTCCCTCTCATAAAAAACAATTCACCACACCTTTCACTTTTAGAGAAAACCTAAATAAAAATTTTTAAGAGAAATTCAAAACTAAAGCAAAAAATAGGAAATTTAGTGGCATTTTTAAATATTTTGTTGGATTCGTCTCTTTCCATACTTTGTCAGACGATAATTAAAATAAGATAAATTATAATCTAATCGTAGATTGGTGACAAAGAGTATAGGTTGACTTGATACTTCTAAAGACCTTAATAATATCATAGCTGTGTCACAACGTAATTGTTAAAAATCAAACTCGTGTCTTACCTCCTTGACATTTATTGCCTTTGCAAATTGCGCAACACTCACTAGCATGGTTTGTCCAAGGATGGGCCAAGGTGCCAAACCAGCCCATGTCCTTTTTGTGGAAGGTGAAAACTTTGATCGTTGGTTACAATTTTAAAACTTACTCCGTATTTTTTAAAAGTAGCTATTACAATATTTAGTTATAATGTCATAATTTTTATGTATATTCTTAGAATTTTAATTATAATATTAAAAAATAATTTATATAATTTAATTTGTTAGAGACAACATTAATTTTTTTGTTCTGAGCTACAAAATTCTCAAGACCGGCCATGTCCACCTGCACTTAGAGCCTGTTCTTTAGGGCTTGAACTCTTAACTTCTAGTTCGTTCCAGTTCTTTCCAGTTTCATCCAGTTTCTTACAAATCTTTCAGTTCCTTTAAGTTTTTTCCAGTTCCTTCCAGTTCTTTAATTTCCAGTTTCTTCTAGTTTTTTTCCAGTTTTTCCAACTATTTTTATTTTTTTCAAACTCTTCATACTTCCCGACCATTTATCCTCGAAAAGATATATTATTATTATTATTATTATTATTATTATTATTATTATTATTATTATTATTATTATTACACCTATTATGTTCATAACTATAGTTTATAAATTATTTCATTTTTCATCTTACTATTTTTATGATTCATACTAATTACAAAGTATCATTTTTCTTCAACTTTTTAATATGAATAATACCATTTTGTGTATATTAATCTAGATGATAAAAATAGGAAAACATCAATATTTTAAACTATTTAAAATACTATGGATAAACTAGTTACCTAAAATGTTTTTTAATCTAAATTTATACAAGAAAAATATCAATATTTTAATCTAAAATATAGTAATAAAATGGGGTTAGCAGTACTACATTATGAAACGAAGAGGATACTACATCTTGAAAAAGAAAAAAATGACCCCAAAAGTGTAACAAAAACAAATTTAGATTACAAATAATATCACCAATAATTAAAATACGACTAAAAAAAATTATACTTTCATTTATTTGATCTACTTTTTATTGTCTCTATTATGTAAAATATTGTGCATATAAATATAAATAATCCAATCATTTTCAACATAATCATATTATAAAAATTATACTCCGTATTTAGTATCTTCAATTAAGCTTAACTGCGTTGAAGAATATTAACTGTTATTTCATCTCTAAACTGCTTCATTGCATCTTTAGTTTATTCATCAAACAACATCACCTTGGGCTGCCTATCTTCCTCGCTGCATTGGTAGAAGTAAAACATAAAAAAATATTAAAAAAATACTACGGACTATGTATTTATTCCAAAAGTAGTTTTACAATGAAAAAAATATCAATCATTAAAGAAAAATAGCTTTGATTACATTATGTGGCATGTCTGATATTTAAAACAAAATCTTGTAATACACAAAGTATAATTACAAATATATTATTTTATGATAAATATTGCATAAATAAAGAGATGTGCAGCGCAGCCACAATAACTTTTAAATATTTAACATTTTGATATTTGTGTTAATTTTATATTCTAATTAAATTTTTTTGCAAAATTAGTTTTTTTGTGTATGAAAAATAACAATATTTGTTTTATCTTTAAGGAATTCATAAAGATAACATGATAACAACAACAAGAACAATAATAATAATAATAATAACAATATTAATAATTTATAACAACAAGAATTAGAATGAGAATAATATAAAAATACACAAATTAATTTTCCAATTTTTTCTAGTTTTTTAATTTCATTTTATTTTTTCAGTTTCTTCCAGTTTCTCTCCGTTCTTCTCGTTTCTTCCAATTTTTTTCTATTTTATCCAATTTCTTCTAACATCTTATTCTTTTTTTCGAGTCTTGAAGAAGAGGCTCTTAAAATAGATAAGATTTGACGCGGTGTGATTTTGAAGTTTATGTGACCAGAATTGAATCTAAATTGAATTATTCGAGGAGACATGCCAACATTTTTAGGTGTGAAAAATTTGACGTTGGGGGATATGATGAGAGAGTCAAAATAATCAATCCTGATAACTTTTTGTAATGTCGGTCTCCAATTACAGATGTTGTTTCAAAGATGCAATAGGAGGATCTCTCCAATTATCCATGTACACTCCGTAACAGCGGCCATTTCAAAATTTTCAACTTGTTCTCTTCGATGGTTTGGACATTATTATTATTATTATTATTATTATTATTATTATTTAATTTTTCGATGGTTTTTTTGAGATTAATTATGTTAATTTCACAGTCTTTGTAATGTTCTTTTGCAAAAAACATTTATATAGAATTATCGAGAAATATTCACAAGTTTTGTACTGCCTTTTTTAAAATAATAATAGTACAAGTTCAAAAAATAATCTGAAGTGCCGCTCAAGAAAAATAAATACAACTTACAAAAATATTTAGTAAGTTATAAAGTAAATAAATTGATATGGAATCTACATGTATATATACAACAATAGTTTCCAAAACACACTAGGAAACATATATGGAATCCCACTTCTATAAGAAAACAAATTAATACAAGATATGTACAAACATATTCCAACAACTATAAGTGTCGATCATACAATTTCTTATTTTTAATGTTTCTATTGATTTTTTATTATTACTGAGTACATTATAATCAAATGAATAGTATTCAAAAAAAATAAGTGTGTTACTTGACAATCTTGGCATTCCACAATGCCATAATTGACATTGTTTGTTGACATTCTACATTTTTTAAACATTATATATTCATATACTTTAGCATTATAGCCTTATAGGTCCTATTTTGGCAAATGAATATAAAAAATATCTTATTTTTTTGTGTAACCATACTTAGGTATTTCTCCCCTTTATAATATCACATGTATCTTTTTTACTTTTTAATATAGAGTGCTGTTTTGCTAAACCTCTTAATTTTTTATAATTTTTTTTATTTTAAAACAAATGCTTATTTAAGTATTAAGAAATATTTATTTTTTGCTCATATGTAAGTCCATATTGAACCTTAGATCCATTATATAGAATTCGCCTGTTGTTAGTAGTATTTAGTTTTGTAAACATGTAGTATTGGTTTTAGATGTTAAATTACCAAGTATTAATTAATTTAAACCATTGAATTGATCTGAAAAATGACACAAGTCCATCTTAATTACATATATGCATTGATATATGCATGTATAAGTGTAATATCATATAGATGTGGTAATATAATGTTATCATGAATACATTCTTAGAGCATGTTACGTTCTTTAGAGCTTGAACTCTTAACTTCCAGTTCCTTCCAGTTCCTTCAAGTTTCTTCAAGTTTCTTCAAGTTTCTTCCAGTTCTTTCCAGTTTCTTCCAGTTCCTTCCAGTTTCTTCCAGTTTCTTCCTGTTCTTTCCAGTTTCTTCCAACTATATTTATTTTCTTCAAATTCTTTCTACTTTCTGACAAATCACTCTAAAAAATATATTATTATTATTATTACAACTATTATGTTCATAACTATATTTTATAAAATATTTTATTTTTTCATCTCACTATTTTTATGATACACCTTCATTATTATTTTTTCTTCAACTTTTTAATATGAATAATACTGTTTTTTTAGATTAATCTACATAAAAAATTAGGAAACTATTTAAACAATTATGGATAAAAGAGTTATGTACAATATTTTTCTAATCTAAATTTAT